ACCGGCTGCCCTCCCAGACATGTGCACGGACGCGAGGGCCCGCTCATCACTGCGCGCACTTTTGTGACCGCAGTTTTAATATGTTTGATATTATTATGTTTTATTAACTAGACCACTGGTTTTTGAACCTGCACGTGTGGTTAAAGCACATTATTGAATTATTTTTGTTGAATATGTTATATTTGATGAAACATTTTAAATATTAAGATTAGCCTACATACAAAATAGGGGGAAAGTAGAAGGTCAATGATAGAAATATAGAATAGAAAATATCAAGAAGATACTGTAGTGATCTCTACAATAAAACAGTTTAGTGCAGGACGTCCAAAGATATTAATAGGAGGATGTGCAAAACAGACAAACTAATAAGGCTTTATTTAAACATCAAAGAATACTTTAAATTAAAGTACATTTTCAAAATGTGCCTCTGAACCTTGACAAGTGCATGTTTCAAGGCTTATCAATGAACAACAAGAGGGGTCACAGACATAAGACCAGCTGTTAAATAAAGCTCTTCTGACCTTAGCTGTCATGTGGGTATATATTAATTCTGCCCATTATGAACACAAGCAATTTTCACCCATTTATTAATTATATGTTTTAAATTTGAGTGTTTCCTATCCCCTAAACCTCCAGGGATGTACACAGTTTAATACTGGCAACTTCTTATTATGGGAAATACGAAAACGTATTTTAAAACTACATTACATTACAACAGGGGTACTCAAATACAAATCTTAAAGGTCCAAAAAAATTGTTTCAATAAGACAAAGGTCCGTTTATTACGGTCTTTTAAACAATTGCAACAAGATTCTTAACACGAGGTTGCAAAAACAAAAATAATCTGTATGCAGCAGTTTTCATTGTTATTGTGTCTGTGCTTGATCCCTCAGAGTCGCAGTGTAAGAGCTGCACAGTTATGAATAAAGGCAGCTGCACCCTCTTTCATTCAGCATTGCCATTATTGCTTTATAAATGTCTTGCCCCCTTGTGTGTCCACTGAGGTTCGTCAGGCCCAACACATCTTCAACAAACTCCCCCTTTGTCTCATCATAAAAACTCACAAACACCAGCAACTGAGCATTGTCAGTGGTGTCAGTGGACTCATCCACAGCTAAGGAAATGCACTGTGCATTTTTTTATTCCATCACAAAGCTGATTAATCAAATCACCAGCCAGTATTTATGTTCTTCTGGTTGCTGTGGAATCTGAGAGGGGGATTTGCTTGATTTGACCTGTTATTTCCTCTTTTTGTTTGCCTTCAAACATGGTCTCCATCACTTCAGTCATGCATTCTTTTATACTTCAGTTATTATCCAGTGGAATGTCCTTACCTACTGGCCTAGTTAAATCAAAGTGGTTACTTTTTTTTGTCTGGGCAGTGTAGTTTTACACACCGTCTTATTTTACTTTCTCAGGACTTAAAACTGTTTTTGGGGGCAGACCCCTACAAAGAAAAATATATATTTACACACGTAAGGTCATCATCTTAACAGTTTTGTATGCTCATCCGTGAGCAGAGCATCAAGTTGACATGTCTATTACAGCTGAATGCGGCGATTACAATTTTGTTCAGCAAAACGCCTCACAAACTTATTAAGATCAACAGCTTTAGTGCGTTTTGATTCAATGCTGAGTACAGCCAAACTTGACAGTCTCTTCTCTGTCATTGTAGACCGCAAATACTTCATTCCTTCAGTACTTGGGTCCGAATGCTTCTCATTTTGCGCCGTCCCGTTCAAATGAAATCAGGGCCGGGGGAGGGGTTACAAGACGTGCGTCTTGTGCTGCATTCACTTTCTCTCTCATATGTCCAATGAGCCACAACTTTTCTTTCAAAACAAAGCTGCCAACTGGGGTGGCAGCTGGGGTGGCAAGGCCTATTTTTAGGGTGGCAGTTGCCACCCCATGCCACCCCGGTAGGTGAAACTAGGCTACTAGCTACAGTACAGATGCAACTAGATGAGCTGTTAACTCTCGCTCTGACTTTTTTTTTTTAAACACACACGCATTTTTCCCACCCGCATTCCGCGAAGACCCGCCCTACTGTGCCTCTGATTCGCAGACTGTTGGTAGGGGGAAAAAACGCTGACGGGATGCTGAATGTGATTGGACCAATGCGTTGACAGACACACACAGACAGTGGAACAGTCGTACATGCAGAGCGCTGTTTGCAGTGGACATAGCGGAGAATTTTGACTCGTTGCGTTGTGGCGATGTCTCGCAGATAACACAGATAATACATATGAAAAGTATAATTTGCTCAGAGTCCAGAGACAGTAGTGGTTTGGACCGGATCCGGACCGGAGTCCGGACTTTGAGGATGCCTGCATTACATGTTACTCGTTAGATGCTTTTATCCAAAGCAACTTACATACTCAATACTGTGGACAATCCCCACAGGAGCAATTTGGGGTGAAGTGTCTTGCCCAGGGACACAACGACATGCTGACTGCAGTGGGGTTTGAACCTGTGCTTCCCTGATCCGAACACCAAGGCTCTATCCACTGCGCCACACGCCTCCCTAACTACAATTCCCAGTAGAGACGTGCCATAGAACATGTTGCGAAACACACAATAGCCAGCATGTGTAGTTCTGGGGACGGGGTGGGGGAGGGGGGTGGTGGACCCATTCAAATCCAGTTTTGGATAGTCTGCCGTGGTTTCATCCCATTTGAAAGTGCTGTTTGACACTCGGCGTAACCCTCGGCGCACTGCCACTCAAACATCCAATCACAGAGCTTGAGGACGCAAAGCGGAGAGAATACTTACTTCCGGGTGTAAAATTCTCGAAAGCAACTACTATGAGCTGCTCCGATCCTCGGTCCTGACGGACTCCAAAAGTCCGACATTATGAAAAAATGTGCTTAAAATGCATGAAACTCGCCAATCTTTCAAAATGGCCGACTTTCTGGGGGGCGGCGCTCATGAAAAGCAATTTGAAATATGTGTGCAATCTAGGGATGTTAAGATTCACCAATTTGCATCTGTCGTACCATATTGAAGTATCATTATTTTGCATCGTGTTGAATCGCATCGTATCGCCCGAATCGCATAATGTTGAATCAAATCATATTGAACTGTATCGCAACAGGGCTGAATCGTATCGCATCGCCTGGTGTTTCAAATGTATCGTTAATGTATCGTATCGTTGGCAACGTATCGAGATGCGCATCGCATCGGCCTCAGTGATGGAGATGCACATCCCTAGTGCAATCATAAGAGCAATGTGTATACTGCGTTTCGTGAATATCAGAAAAACCATATGCGAGTAGTTTGGAGTCATTCGCGACATGTAAAACGTCAAAAATTGTGAATTCGCTGTTAGTCTACGACCTCCCATTGAGCTAGCAACTATTTTCGTTGCAATTTAGCATCGCATTGGATAGGGGCTGAACTTGTCCTGGATTAGAATTTTTCCGATCATTTCCCTAGGAGGAGTTCGCAAAAATATGCCTAAAATGCATGAAAAACGCACATTCTTCAATATGGCCGACTTTCTGGGGGGCGGGGCTAATGAAAGCCTATTAGAAATATGTCAGCAATTCCATGAGGAATGTCTGTGCGAAGATTCGTGAAGATTGCAGAAACTATATGTAACTACCACACAATAGGGGGCTCTACTGAGCCGTTTTAACAAAAATATACGTTTTCTTTTTACATTCTCGAAAAGGTCGTGGGCTGTGACGTGTGTCCCAAGTTTTGCATCCGTAGCTAATTTTAACACAAAGTTATTTGTCCGTAAGTAATTTTAACCCTTCGATTTTGAGAAAAAACTGTGTAGGGCACGCCCACATTCGTCATTGGTTGCGACACTTTAAATCTCAGTTTATACTCACCCTCCCAGTATATTTATTACAAAATATATATATTTCGTCCATCCGTTCTTGAGGTATACATTTGTTGTGTTTTTGGCACCTCCTATGGTCCAAAATGAACATGCTTCGGTGTGCTTATTCCCCAAGACAGACTGAACCTATCCACCAAAATCTGTGAATTTTTGATACATTGGTGATGAATTATGAGCATTTATGTCTAAGCCACACCTTTTTGCTAATACGTTTTGATTGATGTCGGCCACATTTTTCTACACATCGTGCTCATTTCCTAGGGTAGTGTGTCTGACCCTCCACTGATGCTGTACACTGAGTTTGGTGTTGAAAGACAAAAAATTGAAATGTAAGTTAATATTTCACTGTTTTTTACATTAAGCTAATAAAAATAAAATCAAAGTAGGCGGAGCTTAGAGGTTCAAGAGGATAATATGTAGAGCAGGTCCACCCGGATAAGTGTGCAACATTTCAGGTCTATCGGACTTACGCTGCAACTATGTAAATTTTTCGAAAAACTGAATTCTCATAGGTGGCGCAAGCGAGCATGTTGGACATTTTGAACCCAACGACTCCAGAATGTAAAATCGTTCACCTTTTCCTGCCGGCTGTGCAAAATGTTGCTACATGAATGGTGTCGTAAAGCCCTCAAAAACAGGTTTAATGTGCAGAACAAGAATCGGGAGAATAATAATTATGCGAATAACAATAGGTCTTCGCACACTTCGTGCTCAGGCCCTAATGAAAATCTGACATAAAATCCTATCACTCAGAAAGTTTGTCAGACGTTCAACAGTTCAGATTTAAAGTGAACCTGAAATACATGACCTTAAGGGGGCGCATAATCCATCATTATCATTTTATGTCAGTGTTATCGGTGCTGTGCTGCCCTCTAGTGGCCGAGGTCTGCATAGCTTGAACCTATATCATGTATCATTATTTTTGGTTAAGCCCCCAAATGAAAATATTTGAGTCATGAATCTCAAATTGAATTAAAATATCGAAAAGGGCATTTGAAAATAAAATACATTTTCCAGTATAATGAAGGGAAGCCAAACACAACACATTTTCACAACATTGCAACAATAAGAACCCAGTTCAAAATAGCTTTCAGTAGAATCTATACATCAATTACTGACCATATACATTTAAAAATATAACATCAGTTAATTTGTGTCATTATTTATTATTTAAATATATTGAAATCAACACATTTATGTAGACTTATAACAAAAAGACAGTAAGAGAGAAGAGGAAGGAGAGATGTTGCCAGAAGAGCTGCTGATGGAGTTAACTAAAGAAAAATAAAGGCTTTAAAGCGATAGAAAGTCAGGGCCTATTCTTATAAATGAATTGTGTTAGCCTCGGACACCCAAGTCATCTTTTTCTAAAGGTGTGTCTTTTTTTTGGCTGACAATTTCTCAAGCATCCCTTGCATTTTCTCTTATCCATGTTGGCATTTGTCTTTTTGCATATGCCCCAAAATAAACTGAACAAAATGTACATAATATAATTGTGTGTAACAAAGTTCTCTAACACCACTGATTTGTTTTTCTTTTGGCTTTATATGTTATGTTTAGAGTGTGTGGTGAAAAGAAAATATTAATGTTTTTAGTCCTATTTAGAATATGCGGTGCACTTCAGCATAATGTGGCTGAAATTCAGAAAGAAAATAAAACATTGTGAAAATGATAATGACAAAATAATAAAGAAAATAAATACATCTGAAGTAAGATTTTTGTATCTCACCTGATTCCACAGATTTAAAAACACACTTTTTAAAGTAACGAGAATTTTTCATTCCCTTTCACCAGCTTTTAATGGCTTCCGTACTATTGCAAGTTGCATTAGAATAAGATTTATAATAATACATATAACTTGATTTATGGCATTGAGTGATGCCATTCAATGCTGTGCAAACTTTTTTTTTTGGACAATATTTAAATGAAGTCACAATGCAAATATTGTCTTGAAGGTGTTGCTAGATGAAAATTAAGAGGATAACAAATGTTATCAAAATGCATCCTGTGGTGGAATACTTATTTTGCACAATAGTTTTCAAGACATTTAAATAAAAAACAAAATAGTCTGAATCATGCGGAAGCTACACGGAAAAGTTATGGTATCACCTATAATTGTTATTTCAGTCTGGACCAAGATGATAAATGAACTGAGCGACAGAGTTCCTTACATGCTTTTTGTGGTGGCTTCCATTGAATAAGGCCTATATGTACATGTTTCCAACAAAAATGTAGGCTCAGCTAGGCTCAACCACATCTTTTGATTTATGAGTGTCTTTGAGATCTTCAGAGAGTGAATGCAGTGGTTGGGGCAATGGGCTGTGAGTTGATGGACACGGTGAACTTGAGCCCTTTGGTGACCGCGGCATTTCAAAGTTCACATCTCGACTGCTCTTCTGTCTAATATGAGCTCTTATAGTTCTCCCAGGAACCGAAAGTAACCCCCCTCCTTCCTCTACCAGACCGTCAAACACCGCTCCCAGACTCTGTCGTATTCTCACACAGAAGTTTGGGCAGCTGAAGGCATACAGAATGGGGTTCAACACAGGATTTAAGAATGCAAAGGTTGTTGCCAAAGGCAGGCCCACCTCCACAAAATTGAGATTTTCTTGCCAATACTGGGCTGTCACTTCGATCATGCAGAAGATGTGATAGGGTGCCCAGCACAGAACAAAAGCTGCGATCACAAATGTTACCATCTTGGTGAAGCTCTTGGACAGCTGATTGGGATTAGGGGCAGTTGGTGACAAGTAAGTAGGTGTCAGGGACAAAGCTGGTCCTGAAGACAGAGGCTTGAGAAAGATATTAGTGTTTTTTGTGGTTGTAGGAGTTGTAGCTTCTATTGCCCCATCTTTGTTGGACACAATAAGTGTATCCATGAGCCGCCCGGCACTCTGCATCCTCCTCCTGCTTCTGTTCCTCAGGCTGATAACAATTTGGATGTAGCTTCCTGCGATTACCACCAGGGGGAACAGGAATGCCAGCAGGAGCTTGGAGATGGCGGTTGACGCTTGCCTCACCTTGCAATCTCTCTCCAGAGTGGATTGAGAGGATGAATACAAGGCAAAGTTATGATAGCACAGTTTTCTTCCATCCTGTTTCTCGGTCACTGCGCGGAACATCAAGAAAGGCAATGTGTTGATTAGTCCCCACAGCCAACCCAATGCACACACCTTCCACGCTCCCTGCACTGAGCGATGATTCTGGCTCCACACCGGCTTGGCCGCCAGAAGGTAGCGGTCCACTGAAATGGCTGCCAGCAGGAAGGCCGACACGAACATGTTTAAGAAGAAGATGGACGCCTGCGTACTGCAAAGTAGGCTGCCTAGCTCCCAACTATGCGAGGAGTAGAGATAGTAGGTGAATAGGGGCAGCGTCAGAGTTGTCAGGAAGTCAGACATGGCCAGATTGAGCACCCAGATAGATGCCACTGTGCGGCGTCTCAGGCGGAAGCCCACCACCCAGAGGATGAGGGCGTTCTCCAAAATCCCCAGGCAGGAGACCAGTCCATGGATGCAGACCACCACCAAATTGGCCTGTGTGTTGTTGTTGAGGCGGTGCTCCTTCATCATCTCCAGCAGGGGACAGAACAGCTGTCCGCCTGAGGCATCTATGGTGGGGGTCATGTTGGACATTGGTGCTCTGTAAGAAAAAAAAGACAGCTTCAAGAAGCTGATGGAGAGGTGATTACAATCAGAGGCAGGGTTAAACATCGCTGGCACACACGCCTGTTCTTGTTTGGAAGCCGAATACATGTTATCTTTTTCACTAACTGATGTTTGTCCATATTTACATCAACAAGAATGATGCTGAAGATTTTATGAGCAATAGACGTGTCTTTGCCTGTAGACAGCTGATAACCGCTCCCTTTCCTTATATAAAGTGACTCAATTAAATGAGCACCATTATTCTCTCCCTTGTCAGTCTTTTTTGATCAATTACAATACTTGGCTGCCGAGGGAACTAAATGAAGTCTTGTGAAATGCAATTAGGCTGATAATAGTAGGAATTAAATCAACAACATGACTGACATGATTACAGGTGAGGAAATCTTCCTCTACTGTAATCTGCCGTGACTCAGTTTTGTTGCAACCATCTCCTAGGTTTTGGGATTTTAATTACAAGAGCAAGAAAGACATAATGCCAGGACAGTTTCATTTATAATATATTCCCGTCTCATGCTACAGCCTTTCAAGTTGCATAATGACACGCTTACGTAATGCCAACCCTAAGGCAATACGTTCCTTTTTCAAGAGGAAAATGCTTTACATACCAGCTAGTATAGGTGAGCGTACCACAGTACACTGATAAGACAAAAGTCTAGAGTTACCTAGCCCTGATTATCTTGAACCCCAAAGGAGTAGAAACCCATTTACAATCGTCCCTTTGATACAAAAAAAACATGTCAAATCCTGTTCCTGTGGTCTAACCACATACCAGCTCTTGGGAAACGACACTTGTTTAGTTCAGCAATACAGTCGGGGAATGCTTGAGAACCAAAGAAGATACAAGCATGCTGTTTATTTCGGTTATGGGAGTATCTTTTTTATTTAGAGAGCACAATCTCAATGAAAGAATCTCGATGATCTTTAAGTGTCTGTTAATAACGGAAAACATTCCTACCCAGACTGTCTGCACTGATATATACTTTACAATAATATTGCCCTTTGTATGAGGTAAGATTAGTGCAAAATCTGCAAATATGTTTGATGATGAGAATGGGTTCATTAAAACCCATTTCTGCATATCAAAATATGGACTACTTTTCTGTGACCTCTTTCCATCCAATCAGGCTTAGTGTAGGCTATTATGTTAATGTACCTAACGGAGTTACCCATACCATCCTATAAAAGTTGTCAAAATACACTTTTCGTAAAATGCCACAATATTTTTTATTCTTGAGATACAATTGTTTTGAGGGGTGAAGTTCTTTAACCGAAAGAGCTAGTTTGGCTGATTAAAAAAAGTTCAAGATCAAGATAAAAAAATATCTGATTAAAGCCAGCTATTAAGCTACGCTAATGTGAGCTAACATTAGCAGAGCTAATCTGGACATGTTTGTCTATACTGCAATCAAACAGTAATTATTATTTTTGACTGTCACACTGTGTAAATAAATGACCTACTTGGCCGCAAACCAGCCTATGAATATCCCCAGAAAATAAATACGGGTAAGTTACATTAAAAGCTTAAAATGAATGTGTCAACCTAAAAGTAAGAGCTGTAAAGAATGATACATACTGTGACGAAATTAAAATAAGCCTTCTCCTGCTCTCTCTTAGTGCTACACTATTGTGTCTGAGAAAATATTAATTTATTTATTTCCACTGCTCTGTCCATGTGTATTCAAAGATATTCACTCTTGTATTACATCCAGCCGTGGTCACTTACTCATGCCCCACCATAGTGACTGCCTAGACAAGGCAAACACGGCACCCTGTCTGCACATGAATACAGACATGTGAAGAAATATATCCATGACATAATGATGACGTGACTGTTTCCCCATCAACTGTCAAATGAAGCTCAGCGCAAGTTCTTTCAGGAAGACTGGTATACATTCAGTCCGCAGCTGCTTATAATCAGCTCATCACGGGCGTTGTCTTTAACTTATTACATTCACCTCATTCTCCAGCAGCCAATCACTGTGCTGCAGCCAAACTTTAAAATGGTTCTCCTCTCTCCTGCAGTCAGCTGTGATTTCAGGTTGTCATGCTGCCGCCCGCCTCCCCCCCATCCACCTCAGTAGTTATACAAATACCACTTCCATCACATTAGTATGCATAAAAAGTGACAGGGCACATCCCCCCACTACTTATGCTAATGACCTCCTTTGATATGCTAATGACCCCTTTGTTCGAGGTGTTATCACAGGTTGGTGTGATATCACAGTTAGGTGTGATATCCTTTGATGTGAGGGGGGTGAGGTGTTGTAACATGCCGGTGTGATATCACGCCAAAGACTTAACATTTATCATATGACATGTGTCAATAAATGTTCTTTTAAACCAAATGAAGTCTCTCCTGATTGAACTGCATATATGGCTAGTGATAAAATAGTGTTTTTGCTTGTAATAACGTTTTGAGTTATCATTTGAGTTATGACCTTGGTGTCACCTAACCCTAACCCTAACCTTTGGACTTGACCACATAATGAAACTGTACTGTACTACTTTACAGCACCAAACTGTTTGTTCTGTGGGTTTCTTTACGCTTCCTTCATTATAATGATAACATTTCCATGAACAAAGAGCTGTGATTTATCGCTTATTGTGCTTACTTAGGTGCCTGACATTTGTAGCAGTGCTCTTTCAATAATGACTTCATATCAATATTGTAGTTTGCCACTCAAAGCGTGTGTGTTTTTTTTTTTTATCAGACACACCTAGTTTATATTTACTTATCCTCATTGGCATAAATAAGTTGGACACAATATTAGAACAACATCTCATTATGAAATATTACAAAGCAACAGCCCCATAAAGTTGAATCCCCACCTTTCTGAAACTGTTAAAACAACAGTACACGGTGGTAGGATTTATTGCAGGGCTATTGTATTAGAATCCAAACATTTTCAGGTGTGAGTATTTCTTAGTTGTTGTATATTTCCTTATGTATTCAATATTTGTCATAAATTAAACTGTTCCTTTTTCCAATGTATTATTATTATTATCTATCTTTTCCACACTGTTGATTGTTACTAAGAGATCCACAAGACACATTTATTATAATAAAGAGCAATACAACTGTTTCCCATTATATTAACTTAAAGAAAAATGTTAGGTTATCTACCAGTCTGTAAGTCCCATAGCGAATTGTATTGTGAGTTTCTTTATATTACATCTATGCACTAAAGTACCAAATGTCCGTTCTTTTACTTTAGTATTTTTAGTTTTTGCAACTCTATACTTCTACTGCAACAGAAGGAATAGTACACTTTTTTTGCACTCGAAATATCGGAAATCTTTAGCTTCCCTTCCTGAAAACCATTCAGATGTGTTGATTTTGAATATTTTAGATAAAGTGAAAGATTAAGTTTTGCAAAGGAAATCTCCTCCTTCTTAAACTGAATTAAAGTGTTTCAAAAGTGTTGAAATTGCTCAAAATAGGGCTGTTTTTCATAGAAAATTTACTTTTTAGAGATACGCGGTTCTCCCAGAACAAAGCTACAAAGATAATGATCTTATCAAGCATGATGCGATTAAAACTGCTCCACAAAAGTTAAGAAGTGAAAATGAACATAGCATCTACAGCAGTAAAATGCAAAACACACCTTAATGAAGCAATCACATTAATCCAAAAACATCATATTTATAAGTTAGTCTGGAAAGGGATATGATATGATTGGGCACAATAACCACATGTTTTAATTACATGATATAAAACTGGCGGTTACATATAATTGAGAAACAACAAAAATACATACCATGGGAGTGTTAGGGCAGCATGGGAAAAAGTAGGTCTGCAAAACACCTAAATTCACAAATATTTAATTAAAAAACAAATCTTGTTCTGTCCTGTTCCTTTTTCTCCTACGGTTGCACTCACTCATCTCACCAGTTCTGTCACTTTCTACCGCTCGCATGTTACGGAGACACCCACTAAATCCCTGCCAGACACACACACAAACACACATACCTCCCCTTGCTCCACCCTGTTTGGTCGCAAATTTGACTAGAATTTCAATTCAGACAGGTATGTTGGAAATAGTGAGGCATCGGGGATCTCATATGAGGAAGGGACTAACAGAGGCTGAAATATGATTCCTGTGATAAGTCATTGTCTGTCCTACATAGCTGATGTTCATTTCAAGACTGGACTTGTTTGAACTATTTCAACTGACACCTCACTGGGCTGCAGTTGCCATGATGATGCATTACGTCAACAGCAGAAATACACTGACATCACACTGACATCCAATATTTCGAATCAATATTCCATTAGAACAATTTTTCTTAAATGAAATGTGTGCCTGTGGGGTAAGAACCAAGGCCGGATTAACCATATGGGCACACTGGGCACGTGCCCAGGAGCCCTTGAGCAAGAGAGGGCCCTCATTGACAAGAGGAAGACATATATATATATATATATATTTATTTTTGTTGGCACAACCTCACTCATCATAAATTGTTTTAAATGAAACTCACTCTCTGCCGCAATAAATAACTCTGCTTTCCTATAGGGTCAAATTAATATATTTTCGAAACCGTCTCTGTACTGTAGGTCTCACTATGTATGCGCTCAACTTCATTACTACGCGGTGGCGGTCTATAGCCGAATCAGAACCCCACCTTCACTCATGTCACATTGACATTGTGTCACGTGAGCTAAAAGATGGATGGTGCCGGTCGGTAGCAGCCAAACACCCAGCGGGGCAGCGTAAAGAAAGAAAAAGAAAGAAAAGGAAGAGAGAGTGGCGGCTGCATTAAAAACTTTCCCAACAATAAATAGCTTTTTAAAAAAAGCTAAAAGTGACGAATTAGGCCAGCAACCACAAGGAACAGTGACGGTCACGGAGCCTGAGGATGTTGTTGAGCTAGCAGGCAATATTAGGATTTCAATGAACTTATCACAGACTTTGCAAAGAAATGGGCAGAAACACTTCTAAAAGGTAAGATCCAGTGATTTGAGGGATTGTCTTACAAACACACATTCTCTCTCTATTGCTTACATATACACACACACTCACTCACTAACTCTCTCTCTCTCTCTCTCTCACACACAATCACTCACTCACTCTCTCTCTCTCACACTCACACACACACACACACACACACACACACACACACACACACACACACACACACACACACACACACACACACACACACAGGGCCCCTGGAGGTACTCATCCGGCCTTCGTAAGAACACACTACAAGAATGTGCTGTGTATTATATCATTCTTTATTATTAACTGTAAACATTGAGATCTTCCTTGTAATCGTCGTTTTCTAAAAACATATCAGGAACCTAATTACTTATTTTTTATGATACTGCAAGGAAACAGAGTTCCAATTTTTGTTTCCTAATTACATTATCACGTTACATTCCACCGATGCTGATTAGATATTGACCCAGTCCGTAAATCCCACTGCCTTTTTGTTGTTGTGTTTCCTGCTTTATTTTGAAAAGGTGCTATGCTCCTTTTTAACGTCATTGTTACTTCCTGTCTTTGTGATTTCTCATCTTTTTGTGATTGTTTGCCCCGCCCTGATTCTTCCCACCTGTGTGTTAACACCCTGCTGCCCTTGTGTTTGTACCTACCCTCTCCAGCTGTGTCTTGTCAATGCGATAAGTCCTGTCTGTGTATATAGCCGCGTTCACACCAGAGTACTTTTCACCGTACTTTTCGCGTTTAGTTCCGTTAGTACCCCTTATGTCGCAATCACACCAAAAATCGTACTTAATCTCGGGAACTTTTACCCCCATTTTTAGAGCCCGCTGAGAGATCGTACTTTCCTGTGGGTGAAAAGTGCCCCAGTGCTGATTGGCTGGGCGAATTGCAAACCACGCCCCGTACAACTGTGAAAATGTTTTGTAGAGCCGCCATTGTTTTTCCTCGCTACAAAAACCCAGCGCACCGAGTAGTTTGTTTTTTAACGCAGTTATGGCAAACATCAGGAAATCATCGGAGCGATGGAGTGATGAGGAGGTATCAGCGCTTCTGGACATCTACGCCGAGGACGCGACCCAGGGAATGCTGCTGAAGCCAGTACCCAACTCGAAGATGTTCAATCGTTGTTCGAAGAAGTTGCTTGAGATGGGAATCTTGCACAGCGCCATGGCATGCCGGCTAAAAATAAAGAAACTCCGGCAGGACTACAACAAAATTAAAGACTGGAATAATAAAAGTGGTAACGACCGGAAGACCAGTAAATGGTACGACCGCTTGGATGCTTTGCTAAGCCACAGACCTTCATTCTCCGGTACAGCATCGAGCCTTGATTCGGGCAGTATGGTATTGGAGGCCGCTCCAACGGCGGATTTAGAGGGCGACCACGACGAAGGTAAAAGCAACTACATGCACTGGGGTTTTAATCTGCACGATAATGGTCTCAGATGTACTTTTATTTGCTCAGTAGATCAAGCTAGCCATGCTAGGCTGAACTAGCTAACACTGGCCCCGAGCTGGCTAATAACATCTAGCTAGCTAGATATTCTCGGCCGCTATGAAAACGTTTTGACTTGTGAATAACTGTGCAGTGTTTCTGTAATTTGCTTCACTAACTCATGGCACTAATCGTGTGTTTCAGGCGAGAAAAATCATCAACTCTCGGGATTGGAAACAAGCGAGCTTTGCCTTGAAGATCAAAGCGCTTGCTCGTCTCCCTTACCAGCAACCAAACGCAAAGGTACACACACTGTAACTTTGTCTTGAAAGAACGTTACGCATGGAACTGATGTTCACAATCATGTTTATTTCCTTCTTGGTACAATTATGAAACAGCGTGAAAACTTATTCGCCTAGACCGGCATTTACACATTTTCGCGCCTTTTTACTCTCTCACAAACATTGTAAACATCCGGGCTAGAGGTCACATGACTTCCGGTAAGAAATCGCTTCCACTTGGAGCATATATCGCCACCTACTGTTGATTCATTAAATGTTTTTATTAAATCCTTGTCCTCAGACCAGTGCTTTTGAAGAATTTGAAAATCAGCTTGTTTGCTTCATTTCTTGATTTACTTTCATATATTGACTTGAAATCCATGTCCTTGATGTTGAGTTGTTCCAGTGCAGTTTTCAGAATGAGTCTTTGTCTGTTATAATCCGGGCAGCTAAAAAATACATGATGTATTGTCTCTGGTTGTTGATCTTGTATCTTGCTTATTTTCCCCTCTTAGGAAAGCGGACACAGGATGCACTTTTCTTTGAGACCGTCCAGGCGTTGGAGGACCGGCGTGCCGTGGTGAATGAGTCGCTGCGTGGAGATCAGATGGTGCAGTTCACCAAGGCCCAGGAAACGGAGGACAAGATGCTCACCTCGATGGAGCGCCAGGCAGAAGTGTTCAAGCAGCAGATGGAGCGCCAGCAGCACCAGGATGAAGTGTGGGCGCTGCGCCATGAGGAAGCGTCGGCGCAGCGCCAGGAGCGGCAGGATGAGCGACAAACTGCATTTAATAATGGGTTTCTGGAAGTGCTTTCCCAGCTAGTGAAAGCCAACAGGTCTTCCTCCCTTTAGTTGCCACTGTTATGTAATGTCTGCTGCTGAGCCTATGCCTACACCTGGGACAGTTTATTTGGTATAGTTTTTGTAAATACTGACACACGACACACAACTTTGCACTAAGGTGTGTATGCTGCTGAGACTATCCCTACACCTGGGACAGTTTATTTTATATTGTTATTACTGTTATCACTTTATTTTATATATAATGTTTACTGACATGTACAACTGACACTTTATTTACATTTAAAATTGTTCTATTTAATGTTATGTCTTGAGAGTGCAATAAAGAAAACCGACGTAGCATCCTATACATCACATGTAAGTGATTATTCTGATACCATCATGTTTCATCGGTTATAAACTGGCAAAGCTTTATTTGTCATTTATTTATCATCAATGTTGCAACCTTGTGGGGGAATGGCAGCGGCACATACACAAATATGATAATTTATATAATTTTAAATATTATTTGACCTAAACTTTTAATTCCCCCCCATTTCACACAACACAACATGGAGTCCACTATGGGCCAAAACTAACATGTATGTTTCCATAGTGTTTATGGCAGACGGATGCAGTGGGTCTCAGGAAGATATATATATATATATATCATTAAGGTGGGTTTGCTGCTGAGACTATCCGTACACCTGGGACAGTTTATTTTATATTGTTATTACTGTTATTATATAGTACAACTGACACTTTATTTTATATTGACAATGTTTACTGACATGTACAATTAGTTACATTTAAAATATTTCTATTTAATGTTATGTCTTGAGAGTGCAATAAAGAAAACCGACATGGCGATTAAACAGATCCTGTATCTTGCTTATCGTCATCAGCCATCCTACGGTGAAACATGGCAATCATGTGTGCTTTCCGTCGGCCAATCCTTTTCCTAAGGCTTTTGAACTGCCTTTGATGCTGAAGAAACTTTGCGATTATAGCATTCGACGTGTGGCGGCTCCGGATTTGTGTCGGACGCCTAATAGGCTCAGGCTCTGGCTCAGGCCGCATTAACGAAGTTACAAAGCTGTATAACATGAGCACAAACAGCACAACTTCAGTCGACTCCATCTCCATCATGTCTGAGGTCGGAAGGTAAACAACAGACAGTATACGCGGGAAGTTTTTCTTCTTCTTCTTCTCTTGTTTTGTAGTGGATTGCAAACAACTTTAAGGTGTATACCGCCACCTACTGTACTCACCGTGAAGTGGTTTGTGGCCTGCCAGTAAAGCCAAAGCAGAAGAAGAAGTGACGTCAGCGGCTCATTTGGGTAATCTTCCCTCAGGGAAAAGTACTCCGGTGTGAACACGATCTGTACTAAGTGCCCTGGGGTTAAAAGCGCCGGGGCTCTTAGTGCCGGAACTAAGTACAGGAAAGTACTTGGTGTGAACGCGGCTTATGACTGTCTTTCACAGGGTTGCTCAGTCAATTTGTCACCAATGTTCCGCTCAATGATCCTCAATGAGATTCTGCTCTTCCAGGTATCCGTCCATGTTTCCAGTCTGTTCTCTCCCTGTCGGTTTGCTGCTAGTGTCACCCAGTTCGTCACTTGTTTTTC